TCATCTGAAGAAACATGTACGTGTTCACACCAATGAGAGGCCGTATCAGTGCAGTGAATGTGGGAAAACCTACACAGACTCAAGCTCTCTAAAGTCACACCAGAAAATCCACTCTGATGAGAAACCGTTTCAGTGCAAACACTGCGACAAACGATTCCGTCACAAATCCTTCCTGATTTGTCACGAGAGGAATCACACTGGAGAGAAACCATATCTGTGCTCCTACTGCGGGAAGAGCTTTGCTAGTCCATCTCAATTTGTATTTCATAAGCGAGTCCACACTGGAGAAAAACCATATCACTGCAGTGTTTGTGGGAAGAGTTTCAGTAAGGTTGATACTTTACAAAAGCACAAGAGGATTCATACTGGAGAAAGACCGTTCAAATGCTCACAGTGTGACAAGACGTTTGCTCGATCAGACATCCTTAAGGTCCATCAGCGAGTTCATACAGGAGAGAAACCTTACTCCTGCTCCATCTGCGGCGAGAGATTCGCTTATTTAGGTAGTTTTCAGACCCACCAGAACAAACACGCTAAAGAACAAACTGCTCCAGAATCATCAGAGTGACTTTCATCAGTCAATCTGGAGAAAACAACAAAAAAATGTTCATTCAGCTCTTACTGCCAGTAGGGGGCAGTGAACTTTTTTAATGCGGTGGATTGATCCAAGTGCTGTATATAAAGTCATGTTTGATAGAGTAGAGCAGTGGTCGCCAACCCGTCGATCGCGATCGACTGGTAGATCTTTATCACTCTCCCAGTAGATCCCGAAAAAAACAGTAAAATAAGTACAAAAATGCATTACATTTATCGGGTTGTATTAATGTATCAATGAAGGCAACTGTCTTGAGAAAAGTTTCGATGGCAATGGCATTTTCTTCTCCTATAAAGCGCAGCTCTGCTTTGTTTACAGCAGTAAACAAGGAAATGCTATATTGCGGTCGGTTCATAAGCAGTGTTGCCAAGTCCGCGGTTTTCCCGCGAAATTGGGCTACATTAACACTGTTGCCGTGGGTTGTTGTTCGTGTCCGTGGGTTGAAGCGACTCCAATAACGTGATATTTAGCCCCTGGAATGTGAATTTTACTGGAAGATCCCTGCCGAAAAACGTGTATTTTACCCCCGAAATGCGATTTTTACAGGCGAACCCCCCTCGAAACATGATTGGACTAGTTTTATTGCGAAAACCTGGCAACTCTGTTCATTGGCGCCACCTGCTGTAAGAGAGTGTGTCTCATTCAGACTTGCTGTTTTTGTTTCGTGCAGATGTTTTATGTAGCAAATAAATAAATAACACCTAATGGTCTGACTGACCACTCTGTTTTTGTTTTAAATCCTGAAATTAATCTCAATCAAATCAAAAACAACTGCCTGTGCAGATCATGATTAAAATGCAGTGGTTGCCTCTAATTTCAAATGGCTAGATATTTTAGTTTAAAGCCAGTTCGTTTGTTATAAAGCAAATAGCCAATAAATAAATTTGCTTAAAAATCAGTATCAGAATCCATTTTGCTAGTTAAAAAAAAAGAAAATCTGAATTCTGAATCAGCTATGATCGGCGCATCACTAATTAAAATACTAAGTAAAAGGCCTCAAATTTGACGTACAATCTAGGATGTCTTTTTCGATCAATTCTTCAATAGGTAGATCTTGTCTTTCATAAAGGCCGAGGTCAGGGATCTTGGGCCTAAAAAGGTTGGTGACCACTGGAGTAGAGCAATGATTTTTATATTAAACCAGACAGAACTATTAAAAATCCTCAAAATAAAATACTACAATAATACAAGTACCTGGATTACATAAGGCTGTTAATCATATTTTATGTGATGAAATGGCGTAAAGAGTGAGAGAGTCACTGGCAATTGCACTCAGTTTTTTTTTCATTGCTGGGAGGGATTCAAAAGAGCCATGGCTTATTAATTATCCATTTCATCACTGTTCTTACATAGCATGTATGCTGCCATGTAAGGTAAGATATTTACTGGATAAAAATGAAAAATTGTTTTGTGGCAACTACTTTAACTTCACTGTAACGTCAAATAGAATTAAATTGTATGTGTATTTGGAGTATTGACCTCATGTGAACACAAAAATGGTCACAGTTTCTTTTAGCAGTATTTTAATATTACCACATCATGGCTAGACATGACTGTTATTAACTTTAATTTGCATTAGAGAGCCAAAGTCCAGTTTGTTTACTCTGTCATATTTGCAAAGTCTCCAGGCATCCAAGGCTAACTGTGCATCTGAAATCACATTCTGTCTGAGTAGGAGGAGGCTGTTGTAATCTGTACATTTTTACTGAACACGATACAACACAGAGCAGAACATACATCTTCAGTTAGCACCTAGAACAGTCTGCATAACACACCACTTCCCCTCGGGGAAAACTAGTAACTCCCCTCCCAGTCTTTAGCCCACTTAAAGGAACCTCACTATTGCAATATATTTAGACAATACACTACATCCCTTTCTCCCAGTCTACAAAGTCTGAAAATCTTCTTGGGGGATGATGCTCTCGGGGTACCTCCTAGAAGGAGGGGACTCTGACATGCCCTCAGCCCCAGCAAGCTCCTCACCAGTGTTTTCCATCTATTGTGGGCGGCTGTAACTCAATAACTCAATTGATAAGGTGCTGTAGTGTCGTGACGAATGCCATTGCGCTCGGCAAACTCTTGGAACTCTGTGGATGTGAAAGCAGCGCCATTGCCTGAAACTATTGGCGCTTTTCCACTGCATGGTACGGCTCGGTATGGTTCACTTTTGGGGGGTTTTCCACTGGGTACAGTACCTGGTACTTTTTTTAGTACTACCTCGGTTGAGGTTCCAAGTGAACCGTACTGTTACCAAAATGTGACGTGTAAACTCTGCTGATCACGGATTGGCCGGAGAGAATCGTCACTACCTGCGTCACTGAACTTGCGACACAAACAAAACAGAACCGCTTGATTTAAATCAGCACAGCCAGCGGAGGATCAAACGCAACTGTTTTGAACGAGCGCACCTTTTTTAACAACCAAAAAGTGGCTGTTTCTGCAGTGGAAACGCAAACCGAGCCGTACCGTGTCATACCGTACTGAGCCGTGCCGAGTCGAATCGTACCACGCAGTGGAAAAGTGCCATATGACTATCGGGCAACCCATGTGTTGCAAAAAGCAGTCTTATGGCTGCGTGGTACGAGTCGGCTCGGAACGGCTCAGTACGGCACGGTTTGGCACGGTTTGCGTTTCCACAGCAGTTCAGTACCGCTTTAGAGTGGGCGGGATTATTCACATGTCATTATAGTTGCCCGCCTATACTGCCACGACTCCTGAAAATAACTTTTTCATTCCGCGTCGCCCCATCAAGCTCTCGCTGGATCCGCTCCTCTGCTATCAACGAGAGGAACGTCTGTACTTCCGCAACAGACAACAAAACTTTTTGGTTGTTAAAAAAAAGGTTCGCTCATTCAAAACAGTTACGTTAGATCCTTCGCTGGCTGTGCTGATTTAAATCTAGCGGTTCTTTTGTGTTTGTGTCACAAGTTCAGTGACGCAGGTAGTGACGATTCTCTCCGGCCAATCCGTGATCAGCAGAGTTTACACGTCACGTTTTGGTAACGGTACGGTTCACTTGGAACCCCAACCGAGGTGGTACTAAAAAAAGTACCAGGTACTGTACCCAGTGGAAAACCCCCCAAAAGTGAATCGTATCGTGCCGTACCATGCAGTGGAAAAGCGCCATCAGTGTGTTAATAACTGCTGGTGATGACATGGAACTCATCAGAGTCACTTCTAGCCACTTGCTGTGTGCATCAACAACTATATTATATAACTAGAAATATTTTGCCTTGGAAAGGGCGTGCAAAGTCAATATGCAGCCAGGACCATCTTGTACCGCGAGACCATCGTGCCCCAAGAAGATTTTAACTCCTTGCAAGTCCCTTCATGTGTACGATGCCAGGGTGTGCATCACGCAGCATAGCCAGTACCTCTCTTCAAGCCTTAAGTGTAAGGTTAACTATCCTTTCGGTATGCATAGGTACATCTGGCACCATTTCCAGTAGCAATACTTACAAAGGTGGTGGCGTAACAGCGTCAGATGCCGGCAGAGGTAGGATACATAAATGATTCACAAACTCTTTGAGAATATTGCAAAGCACTACATTTTATCAACATTTTGTTCATTTCAGATGTCAGCGGTGGTTAATTTTGTTAACGGCCTCGACATCAAAAGATCAGCTGAAGGCCAAGGGTTTTTCCTGCATCACCTGTGGGAAAACATTTGTCCCACGAAGAAATTTAGGGAGAATTGAGAGAAAACAAACTAAGCAGAAAGACTCCAGTTGCGAGAAATGCGACAGCATCTTTCCTAATGCAGAAGAGAGAAGACTTCATGCAAAGTGAAGGAGTTTATCTACAAATAGTGCAGGAAGGATTTTAAAACAATCTATTTAGTCCAAAAGCTCAGGAATACGATGCAAAAAAAATGCAAGTGCAATGTTTATGGGTCATAAGTAATACTAGATACTTTACTAACTAATGTAAATAAATGGTTTCAAGCCTATTGAAGACTACGGCAAGAAATACTAGAGAAATTGAATTAAGTAATCAAGTGTAAAGATAAAACACTGCATAACCTTAATATTCTCTATAGGTTGTTGCAACAAACATTTTTTTTTTTTTTTTACATGGCAAAGTAACCATCGAGGCAAGTTTTGCGATAGTTTAGGATGCTTCAAAAAAAGAAAAATGACCTGCACTGTTCTGGGAACAATATTTAATGGTTTTGAAAAAATGTTATTCCAAACACTCAAAACAGGAACCAAAAGCTAACATTAAGGGAACATTTTCTGGTATGGTTTTCATTTGAATACATTCATTTAATTAAGAAAGCTCTTTTCTCAGAATGCTATTAGCTCCATATCATCTCTGTTCTCAAAGAGCATTTGTGCTGCCATGTAAGGGAAGATATTTACTGGGTAAACATTTATCTTCTGTATTTCTTCCTTCCAACTACTTTAATGTGCAGATGGATGTATGATGTAGAATTAAAATGTATGTTTATGGTGTATTTGGCAAGGCCACTCATGGGAACACACAGTACCGTTTCTGGGCATAGCCAAGCTAGGCGGTCGGCTAGGGCACCACCAGCTGAAGGGGGCGCCAATGAGCATGTACTGGTGCTACATTTTGGCAGGGTTGTGATAAAGAGTGGCACGGCCACCCTGAAATATGACTGCCGCCCCCACTGGATACCCCAACATCACTGGGCTAGAGTACTGTCAATCTGACGATGCCTGTATGCCATTGGATCAGAGTGCTGTCAATTGCTGCCGGATTGTTGCATGCAAAGTTTGCATTTGGAGTGCTTAAAGGTCCCCTGAAATGCTTAGAGACATGCAGCGTTACACTTGCCTTGTCCAAATACCCACACTTGCGGTCTTTGCACTTAACCACTTGATTACTTATGACATATTTCCTGTATTTGGTTCAAGTGAGCATGAAGACCACAAGTGTGTGTACAACTTTTCATTACCTGATGGGACACACTTATAGTGTTGTAAAAATGCAAATTGTTTACATAGTTTTACTATTATTTTCAGTACTTTGCATTTTAAAATCAACTTCTAAATGTCTGTTCAGTAGTCGCTGTAGATGACACAATTGAATTAAGTGATAAAAAGCAGTTGCAAATGTTGTACAAAAATAAAAATACTAATCTTTGCAGCAGTAAAAATGTGTAGCACTTTGTTTTACTACCAAATTATATGTAATATCTTATTATTATTCATATTTAACTTACATTGGAAAGGTTTCCGTGACCTCTCGTGCCATCTTGGCAAAAAGTCTCACGATTTATTTCCAGAACATGATGCATGATGGGATACACTAACCCTTGAATACCGCTCCGGAGCGGTATTCGAGATAGTGTGGGTTTAGTGTGCGTTAAGGGCACTGCGCTTTGGTATTTTTAAAGGGGTCATATGATGCTGCTAAAAATAACATTATGTTGTGTATTTGGTGTAATGAAATGTGTTTATGCGGTTTAAGGTTAAAAAAACATTATTTTCCAAATACTATACATTGGTGTTTTTACGCATTGCGTTGCATCGCGCCGCGTAAACATAAAACCCTGTCTGCATTTGTGATCGGAGAAATGACAAACAACAAGTGCTACTCTACTGCCCAAAAAACTTGCTTTAAATATATAAAATATAAAAACTCTTTAAATATAAAAAACGTACTCACAGTGTGAGTCAGAACACTGTGAGTCAGAACAGCCGGCATTGTAGTCTACTCTACCAGGATCAGGAAACAGTCCTCCATAAAATGTGCTGCACACATCTGGATATTTGGGTTGAAGTGTTCTGGAACAGTGTTGTAAATACAACTTAACCACTGATTTCTAGTCATGTCCATTTTTGGAAGGCCAAACAAAGTCTTTCACAACGAAACACAGCATCAGACACGGCGGGCTAGAGTGAGCAGAGGCCGGGGTCTAGAGTTAGCGTCAGCCGGCTAGAGTGAGCGGCGGCGGGCGGGCTTGCAGCAACCACATTTGACGACCCCGGGCTGGACTCTGCTTCGTCCACGGTGAAAGCCGATCCGGCGATCAACAGCGCAAAGTTGTAGTATTTCCTCAGCAATCAGCACGGATCAGCTCTAGGCATGACGAAGCGATATCGTCCTCTTTTGGAAGACCAAACAAAGTAGTTTTGTTAGTAACAAAGTTAGATTGAAATCGCATCATATGACCCCTTTAAGACCTGGGACAGTCTTGCGCACTTACTTCCTGTCTCAAGTGGCCATGACCGCAAGTGTGGGTATTTGGACAAGGGGTGAATGTGTTGGCCTCATTTTAACTGAAACAGGAAGACAGGGCGGTACATATCAAGCAGCCCTGCCCCTTTTTAAAATAGCCAATAGCGTTAGTTTAGGAAGGCCAAACAAAGTCTTTCACAACGAAACACAGCATCACACACGGCGGGCTAGAGTGAGCAGAGTAAAGCCACAATCTTATCCAAATTGCTATAAGATATAGCGTTCTGTGTAGAATACAAATAGCTCCGATACATGTAGTGGTTTGTGGCGACTTGCGCATGTGATCCGCTCCATGCTATCGTGTCTCTGGACCGGAACAGAGTGTGTGTGCGGTGCTTAGCGCCAAACCAGATTTCTTTTTTTCCTCAATGGAAAGCATATTTACACTGTTTGAATCGTTCCCAGTCCCCTATACAGTGCACTACGTGCCATTCACTATACATACACATAGAGGGCAGAGTGTCGTTATTTAAAGGGGAAGTTCACGCTTAATGTGTAGCAAAGAATTAAGTAGCTGCATTGATTACTTGTATGCCACTGATCAGGCTTTTATATGTAGTTTGGGGTTACAAAGGTCTTTATAGGTTTGACTGATTTAAAGTGTCAGTTATTGCATTATTATTTAAATGTTTCAAGCAACAACAACAAAACAATTGAACAAAAAACAGATAAAGACAAAAAAGTAGCCATTGATAATATCTAAACATGTATCCAAATCCAAATGTATTAAAATTAATTTATGTGTGATTTATGTGTAAATTATGTGCAATGTTTTAGCTACTAGGGATTGTTACATAGGGCTATACAGGCATCTAGTGGCTACACAATGATATTACAGATAATAAATTGTGCAAATTTACAAATAATGCATTCAGATTTGTGAAACTCCCAATGCAGCTGAATCGCCACAAATTAGTGTCGTTACTATGACAACCAATTTGAATGTGACAAGAAACTGGTGTCTGAAAAGAATATATATGTATATGTATATATAAACATATATCTATATATCTATATATATTGCTAGAAACGGCCCTGGGAACACAAAACAGAAATCAGCCACAGCCTCTCTTAGCAGTTATTTAATACTTTTTGGAAAACATCGCAGTACCACATCAGGGCTAAAATGACCCTTATTTCAAATACAAAAGTAACAGCAAAAAAACAAATTTTTTCTACAAAAGATACAAAGATTTTGTGGAAAATGTCAAATAAAACATTTGTTTCTTATCAAATATCATTACACATACAATAGAGAGCTAATAAAGACAACTGTGCTGCAGAAGCAAGGAGTTTAAAACTTTCGCATTCGATTTATCGTCTTACAAAATCACATTGTTCTCAAAATGGAAACACTGAAGCCCAAAGTATGCTTTAGTTTTGATGAGAAAGAAAATGTGTGCGAGCACAGGCAGTTGACGCATGTGCCATCAAAGCTATTTTCCCCAGATGACCAAAAAAGTTCCCTGTACTCTTTAAAACTAGAGGTTAATCATCTTTAATTGGCCTGTTTAGCTAAGCCATCGTTAGAACAAACCAAACAAGCCCTGAAAGTTGATAAAAGAACACGTATCATAGAAACACGCAATATTAAATTGTATTAGATGTTTGCATTTGACAGATTATACATGTATATATAGCTTTGTTTCGCCCATCAGTAAAAACCCAAGTATACTTAAGGCTTTAGGAAGCTGAATTTAAAGGTTCACTTTATTGTGCATCCATCTGAGAAAACATCATAAGAATCTCGATGTGTTTATCTCTCCACAATATTATAGTATCAGGAACAGTATCACTTTAATTCGAAGGAGGACAGGAGTTAACACAAGCCGTCTTTGTCACCTGCTCTGTGCAATGCAGCTCCGGCTCTGTTTAACTAGCTTTATGAATCTAAAGTACCTCTCATCTGTTTCTCACATAAATAGAGGTTTCCCAACAGCTTAAAGACGTAAAGTGGCATGTAAGTGCAGATCATATAAACGCGGTGGTTTGTGATTGATAATCGATTGAGGCTTCCGAGAACACGACCTCTTTCATAAGGCACATAGAAGACGAGTTCTTCAAATATCATCAATAACATTTTCACATTTGTGAGCCTGCAGCACAAAAGCAGTGTTAAGTCGCTGGGGGATATTTGTAGCAATAGCCAACAATACATTGTATGGGTCAAAATTATACATTTCTCTTTTATGCCAAAAATCATTAGGATATTAAGTAAAGATCATGTTCCATGAAGATATTTTGTAAATGTCCTACCATAAATATATCAAAACTTAATGTTTGATTAGTAATATGCATTGCTAAGGACTTCATTTGGACAACTTTAAAGATGATTTTCTCAATATTTAGATTTTTTTGCACCCTCAGATTCCAGATTTTCTAATAATTGTATCTCGGCCAAATATTGTCCGATCCTAACAAACCATACATCAATGGAAAGCTTATTTATTCAGCTTTCAGATGATGAAATTTACCCTTATGACTGGTTTGGTGCTCCAGGGTCACATATAAGCAAATAAAAGCTGCCTTTTGCATGCACTATAAGACGTTCTCCGCTAAAGGCACGATACAGAACAGCTAAAGTGTCTCCAAAGTCCATTAGAGAAAGAAAACTGCCCTGCATATTTGACTGATTTATCTGTTTTAGCTGATATGTGTGGAATCTAGGTCATGTGATGAGTCGAGACCTGAAATGCTTGCCTAACAGAGAGAAAGCAAGCAGTTGCAGATCCTCTCAATGGAAAGGAGTCCCATGTGCTGCAGAATTAAAGCTCTGTGAGACTACCATGTGTCTGTAAAGGTCAAACATCTACAAGGGTCCTCCAGCACTGGCAGCCGCTCTATATCTTGGACTCTCCTGTGGCCTGATCGCTCCGTAGAGGTTGCTGTAGAGGTCAAAGGACACGTTTAGAAGCAGAACCATATTCTAGTGATGCACTGAAATTAGTTTTTTACTGGAAAATTGAAACTGAAACTATAGCCTTCATTTATCTGAAAACTGGAAAT